CCCCCCCAACCAACCTCTCCTTTCGTTAAGCAATTATGATCCCGTGAATTATTGCGCCTTGGACTATGTACCTTGCGTCTCTGCCTTAAGTTATTTTTGTTACCGTCATACGCTTGAGCAATGATCGATTTAGGGCGTGAGTGTCAACGCTAACTGGTTTTTATGCAATAGATTGAATCGGTAAAAATAACACTGGGTCAGTAGGAGTCCATTCATTCATTCATTCATTCATTCATTCATTCATTCATTCATTCATTCGTTCATTCATTCGTTAGTTCGTTCATCCATTCATTCACGCATTCATTCATTCATTCATTCGTTAGTTCGTTCATCCATTCATTCATGCATTTATAAGTTCGTTCGTTCGCTTGTTTTGTTTATTTATTTGTTTATTTATCTGATTGTTGGGCGTGCCTGTGTGAGTGTCTCGTTTCGTCTGTTAGCCTTTTTTCACCCCCCCCCCCTTTCCGCAGCGGGTGGTTTTAGGCACCACAAGTATGTAGATCCTTGTTTTTTTGTCCACTCTGTTGTCTTGCTTTTTCCGTTCACTCGGTGATCATTATCGTGTCGAATATACGCATCTCTTTACCTCAACGAACGAAGAACAACCTCTCCCCTTGAGCCTAGACGCTCAGAACCTCATAGTATAAGTATAACAACGCCCATCTTTCAAACACCCCCCCCCCCCTTTATTTTTTATCAACCCCTATATCACGTTGTCTTTGGCCTGAGATAAGGGAGCTTTTTGAGCTTCTTGGCTGAGACTAAACCGGTGATTTTTTTTTGGATTTCGAAATTTTTATTTATTTTTTATTTGTATTTTCATTATTTATTTAGTATTTATTTTTAAAATATCTTTTCTATGGGGGCAATCGACAGATATGTCGCTGTACTTCTAACGTCTCTCCAACTGCTGGAGACTAACCATGGCCTTTCAGCATGATATGGCATTTTGTGCAATATGTAGGCCAAGGGATGACGGGTAAAAACAAAATATTTACTCGTTTCTTTGTGCCCCAGAAAATGTATTATGTTCCTACTTGCCCCCCTCTTCCCTCCCCGCTCTCTCTCTCTCTCTGTCTCTGTCTCTGTCTCTCTCTCTCTCTCTCTCTCTCTCTCTCTCTCTCTCTCTCTCTCTCTCTCTCTCTCGCTCTCGCTCTCCCCCCCCCCCCCCCCCCCCCCACCCTTTCCGCCCCTTCTGCCTATATTATTCCCTCCCTTTCCTCTTGAAGAGCATACTGAAGGAACAATTGCCCCGTTGTAGTAGTCTCTCCAGTCGTGAAAACAGAGGACATCAACGCATAAATAAAACAGTCATTTCATTGCCTATTGTGTGAAGGATTAAATTGTCCAAGTAAGATTTTGGCAGGTCAGCAGGTGAAGAAAACTTTCCTTTGAAACTGCTTCGTGTTGTTTTGTGGGTTGTGGTTTTTATTTTTTCCTTGGTGTAAGATCTTGTTTTGCAAGCTTTGCTTTTATTGTCCTTGGCCTGGTTGTTCATAGTTTAATAAAATTTTTCTTTTTTAAATCTGATTTTTGCAGTTCACGGTGCGAGGAGTTTACAAGGACGGAAGCCAGGTATGTAGGTCTGTGTGTGTACCACGAGACTTGTTATTTGTCTTCTAATGTGGGTGGGTGGTTCTTTCTTCTGTTCTTTCCTTCTGTTGTTCCAGCTTGTCTGTCTTGCCTTTTCTCTTGCTGGAAATGACCGTTATAGTATTTATGAGCTTCTTTTTACTCAAACTGGAACTCAAACTCGTATAGTGGGTTGCTCCTTCTTTCCTAACAAACATCTTTCGTCCTTATCTCTCCTCCTTCTTTTTTCTATACGTTACTCTCTTTTAACACATCTATTCTTCGACACTTATATGACCATATTGTGTTGCAAGGGCCATAAAACTCTTACTAAAAGTAACATATTGTGGGTTATTATGTGATGTCTTTTTTAAATATGGTAGGCCTACATGCTAGCTGCATGTCTGTCATGAATCTGTGTATCAGTGAGACTGTGATAGCTGGACTTTTACTTGTCTACTAATTATGTGTGTTTGTGTGTGTGTGCACGAGTGTGTGTGTGTGTGTGAGGGCGCATGTGTGCACATGTGTGAGTATGTGCATGCGTATGTGCCTCACAAGAGTAAGGGAAAAATGAGGGTACATTTTTGTAAATATTTTGCTTGTATTGATTTCATGCGACCATAACAGATTTTTTAATTACATATTTTTCAGGTCGGCACAAGTTTTCTGTCATATTTGGTGTGGGCACAAAGAAATATCGTACTAGTGTTGTGAAAGATATAAATGGCAACCCAGACTGGAATGAGGAATCAGTAGTGTAAGTTCTTTGAGTAGTTGTATTAGACATGGGACCTTTGGTATTCATAGTATAATCTTTGGACATAAAGGGAGTAGTCACTGGGAAGTTAAATTAGTTTAATGTCAATTGGGCTAGTGATGATTAGCTTTTCATTTTCCTTCTCTATTTTTTAAAAATTAATGAATGTTTTTCATTGTATAAGAGGTGCAATGTCTTGTTGATTTTCATCAGAATGCCAGTTTACAGCGGGAAAAGCATAGGTCAATAATGATGGGTGGTTGGCAAGTGCTCTGGTGTCATTTGCACCTCTTTTTCCGTTAAACATTCATTGTTTGTATGTTACTCCCTAGTAACAACTCTATTCTTCAGGACTTATATGACCTATTGCATTACAAATGACAGGAAAGTCTCACGAAAACTAAATTTAAAAGACATGTTCTTTTGAGAGTATTATATTAGCTGGGCCATTGACAAAGCATCCATAAGGATGAGAATGAATATCAAACTGAAAGATGTCATAGTCCTACTTTTGAACTAATTTGAAGAATAGTAAAGAGCAGCTGAAACTGATTTATGTTCTGTGCTAACTGGGAACAAAGGCTTTAGGCTTATGTAGGCTGACCTTCTAAAGTCCTGGCCATAGGGCACATGATGCTAACATTTTTAGATTTATTTTGTTGAGTATAGTGAAGGGATGTCTTATCTCCATTTTTAACAACAGTGAAAACAGTTCATAATAAAGAGGGAGCTTAAAAAGATGTCATATTTTCACTCTTTAAAAAACTGGAGAAACGACAAGAAAGCACCGAGCTCCCGATATATGTCAGTTAATGAGGAAATAGATCCTTAGTAGTCAACTCTTGACCTCTGCTGAAAATGATTTATTCATCTTGCATTTTTGCTTTGATCTGGATTCAACTGTCAACAATTTCCTAGCTTTGATTTGTTTCAAACTCCCCTCTTGGTGTCAATGGTCAATTGAACTGGCCCTAAGTTTTGTTCTGTAGTGTTGCGGTCTGTTTAATCGGCCGTAATATTAGTCACTATTTCAGTTAGTATATCCCATTCTTTATGTCGTCAAACATTTTAGCTCCTTTATAAATGAAAGCTTCTTCGCATTTACAATTTACTTTCAGAAAATGTGTAGGATTATGGCTTGTACTTTCTTGGTTTGCTTATTCTCAAGCCTTTCCAACATGATATTGTGAAATCATATAATATCCCCTGACACTACAGGCTTTTTGATAGTGATGCTTAAAGGATTAAATACTGCTGTACTGGTGTGTATAATTAGGGATGGGTAACTGAGAGTATTTTTATTTTTAAAAAGTATATGCAAACATTCAAGGGATTTTTCACGCATCTCTTGTATCTTTCACAGGCATGTCACCAATGCCAGTGACCACGTGTTTTTCACGGTCACAGAAAAAGAGGACGTCCTGGGTCAGATCATCATTCCTGTTGCGTCTCTGCTCACTGTCAAAGGGGTGGTAAAAAAGTCTGCTCTCAAAGCCCACAAAAAATGCCCCACCCCTCAGGGAGAACTAATCTTCCAGTGCTACGTGTCCAAGCAGCGACCCACAATGATCACACCGCAAATTCGCTCAGGTTCGAACGCCCCCAATTCAGGTGCACAGCTAACAGGCTTCCAGCGGCTGCGCCAGAACTTCTCTCCAACTCCCAGCATGCTTCAGAAGCAGCAGAAGAAAGAGGAAAAGGAAGAGAAGCGCAAGTCGAGCTCACTGGCCAACTTCAACAAGAAACTTTCAAAGTCCATCCATGACATCTTCCACCTGGGACGGTTGAGCGGTACCAACGACGGGGATGAGGAACAGGAAAAACCCAAACGTACTCGGTTCCCCAGCATGGGCACGGGCTTAGACTCATCCGGTAGAGAGGCCCCAGTTGTTTCACACATCGTTCCCAACATGGCCTCTGTCCATGGAGGTACTCGCCTGGTCCTAGAGGGGCGTAATCTAGGCCTGGGGAAGTCAGACATAATGGAGCTGCTGCTGTGTGGCTCAGACCTCCTCGACACCATTGAATTTGAATCAGACAGTCGGATCTATGTGACCACCAAACCTCAGTCTGCCGGCAAGGGTGATTTGTGGATAGAGACAGTGTCCGGTGGACAGAATGTTATCAAAAATGTTTTTACCTTCGTGGACCGTTCAGCAGCTACGACACCGGTGCCAGAGAAGAAGTCGTATGCTGATACAGGGTCAGTTTCAAGCAGGGGAAAAAATTCTGCACTTGCAGAGAGCTTAGCAGAGACTCCGATCCCAGAAGGTAAACTAGCGAGCACAGAAGTGAGCAGCCCCCCACCTCCGGTCATCTCTGTAGAGAGGTCATCGTCTTTGAACCAGGTTTGTCTTGCGATTTCCTAGGGCTTTTTTTTTTTTTACAAATCTTAATTTTGTTTTCCATGCTTTTTTGGCAAATTTTCTGTGGTATGCTACTTCAGTTTCTGCTACACGTGGGACTAGATTTGTTTTAGAAATGTTAAGTTTGGAGTGTGGAGTGCTGGAATAGATTTACTGACAAATTTGCCCTTATGGTGAACTGTATAAGACAATTTCCTGTACAAACTTTCCATTACCCCCTTGCATTTTTGTTAGTTGATTATAATGACTCTGTGTAAGAAGGCCACCTTAGTCAGCCTCTTTTCTCCTCAACAGAGGGTGGCCAGCCTAGACAAGTTTGACTGTAGTTTGATGACTGTGGCTGTTCACTGTTTCAATTTGTAGTGACAGGACTAATGAAGGGATAGCTGGTTCCATCAGATGCGCTGTTTTGCCAGGAATTTTGGTACCCGATTCAAATTATAGAAACAACCATATCAGAGGCTATTTGTGAGGCATTGAAGTGAAATTAGGCGCTTGTCGAAATACATAATGAAATCGAAGAAACAGGCAATTTTGATCAATTAATATTTGTTTTTTTACCGTAACACCTTTTACATTAATTTAAAAACACATTTCTGTGTGGATTTTACTGAAAAACGGTGATTAAAGGCACACAAAAAAATGTAAATTAAGTTTCCAAGGACTCTTAAACTATGGATGGAAGTCACCAATCTTTGGTGGCCATTTTCTCTCTAATTTTACCTTTGAAACCAGGAAGCCCCCACATCCTTCAGTCACAAAGTCTCAACTTTTTTTCAAGATAAATGAGTGTTTTTTCATCGAAAGCAAGACAAATAAACAAGCTTTAAGATTATACCAATAACTCCACATGCCCAAAAATTGACTAGCCTGATTCCGCCAGGTTGTGACACATTTGTGTTATGTCTCAAATTAATAGATTTGTTTATTTATAAAGTCTAGTATAGTTTATTGCCGTTACAATGTTTAAGGGGAGGTATTGTACGAAAGTTCTAGTACTGCTTTGTCATATTGATTGTTTTTGACCATTTTCCTTTTGAGACTGGTTATCTTGTGTGAGTGTTTGTGTACATGGAATAGTCAATCTGTTCCTTCTTTGCTATCTATCGTTCTTATCTCTCTTCCTTGTTTTTTGTGTATGTTACTGTCTTGTAACACCTTTAATCTTCTGCTCTTATATGATCTAATTGTGTTGCAAATGCCATAAAACGCTGACTAAAACTAAAAGTGTACTAAAGGACTAATGGGAGGAAATTCAAATGCAATACAACCTGTTAAGAGACCTTGCAACTATCTCTTCGTGACCCTGTATTGGGAAGTGAAAGCCTATGCTTTGCTGGATCAATAAATGCAACAGCAATAGATTAATTATGTCTCTGATGGCAATCTTTATAGTGCTGTCCTTTGAATTATCTATGACTTGATCAATAACAACAACGACAGCCTGGATCACATTATCTATGATGATGCCAGTTGGGTAGAATAGAAGAAATCAAGAATTTTTGCCATTATCTTTTCAGTACATAGAGTCTCGACATCTGTTCCTAGGTCCTAATTTTATTAAAAACCTTTCCAAGCTAGTTCTGGTTTTTGAGAATTACTTTTGTGTTTCGATTATCACTTTATCAATGCAACTGACTTCATGAACTATTTTTCTAAAGACCAAAAGTGGCATTGTTGGTAATTGCAATAATGCTTGCTGGAGGAGGTAATTTGCCTGTTAACTTACCTTGGCTTATTGGCGTTTGTTCAATACAGGATGACCGTGTCCGAAAGAGCGTGACTCTGTCAGGATCAGCAACGTTACCTCGACTGCATGGAAGTAGTCACAGTGAAATGGAGAACAACGAGAGTCCGCAAACTGAAGCACAGGATAGCCCAGGGGGAACGGGGCGCTTCCGAAAGAACTTTCAGAAACATACACGGAGGGCCAGCGAGTCGATTGTTGCCATAAACAAAGATGCTGAAGGGAGAAAAAGTGAGTTGCTTTCACACTAGGTTGACAGACTGGTCAAACAATGAGTCGCTTGTGCTCTTGCGAGAATCTGTCCATTCAATGCAAGTTCCAATTTATAGTCTTGTTTCCTTTCAAATGGAAGTCTTGGATGATTTCAAAGTGACAACTATAGCTGTCCAGATCAGTCCAATTTACCATCTCTGTCTCTTTGAAGACATATCGCGGGATAGCAGCACAACTGTTGTAACTCAAGTTTTTTTTCAAATTTTACAGAAGGAGCAAAAAACTGATTTTTCAACACTGTCCTTCAACAAAACTTGAAATTTCAGTTTAAAATATATTTTCACAAAACGATCTCTTCAGTCTGCGGTTTTTACAGAGCATACACACCTCCCCAGTGTCTTGGGATATGTGGAAAATGATTTTTGCCTCTAAACCCCGAGTTACGATACTTGAGGTGCTACCCCATGATATATTATTTGGCATAATTTTTTCTGTACACAAGTATGTCAAAACTTGCTCAAAGGAGAATGTAGTTGGCCTATATTTTGATGTTTTACACTGTGAAGAATTCTCTTTCAACATTTTAGTTCTCTTGGAATATCAGTTCCTGTTCATAGTTGGAGTCAGAGATATTGTCAATCTACATTTGTCAAAATATTGGATTTTCTTTAGATTTGGGTGTTATTTTAGTTCTGTATGCCTTAATATTAATATGACAGAAGACTACTTTGTCATTTTAAGCGGCCTTGAATGTGAGAATCAAGAATAAATAATAACTTCTTTTTTTAACCATCTCCTTGCCTGTGCCTTTTGTGCTTTTTATTGTGATACTCATCTTCTTTCTTGATTCTAACTTAGGTTTGATTTGAATATAGGTGTTAATGGGCAAGACTTGCTTATTCAATGTATAATCTAAGTAATTTTTTTCTGTTCCATTTGATGGTGCAAATTTCTTTGACTTTGTTTGGCATTTAAAATAATGCAATCTTGCATCTCCTCAGGTGCTGAAAAATCAGAACTGCAAACAGAGATTTTACGGCTGCATAAAGAAAATCAAGGTATGTTCATGTAGATGCTAACCTGACATTCGTCTTAAGTTAGTCTGATACTGTTTAATTAAAGTTTTGAATCAGAAATTTGAGAGTGTTTTATTAGGGCAATGAATTAGGACACTCCTGAACCTGAAACCAATGAAAGTAGAGAGGATTGTCAGAGCCTTTGGCAGCCATTTTCTCTTCAATTTTACCTCTGACGTCACACCAGCCCCATATCCTTTAATGGCAGATGTCTTGAATTTTATATATAATAGATGGGTATTTTTTTTCTCTGAGAGCAAGACAATCCAAAAGCTTTAAGATGATGTCAATAACTACATATGCCGAAAAATTGACAAGTGCCCGATTCCACAGTATCGTGACACATTTGGCTTTCTCTCCTCAGTTCAGCTTAGCTTTTCAGATTTCTAAAAGTAGCTTTTGTTTGTTGCAGATAGTCTGTATTCTGTACTACTTACACATACCTTTTTTCTCCCCCACAGTACTGAAACAGGAGAATGCAGACATGAAAACATACATCGATGGGCTGGTTGCCCGAGTCATGATCCATTGCCCTGAAGCCTTGGCAGCAGGGGATGACCTAAAGCCTCTACCGTCGACCACAAAATGATTCAGAGCTGTAGGAACAATACTGATCGATGGGCTGGGAGACACATTAGATGAATGAGCGTGCAACTGAGACAGGATGTGTGGGAGAGTGAATAAAATGACTGATTGGATCTTTTGTGCTGTACAGATCCTAGTGTTGTGCAGCATGTTAGTGGCTATATAATGAAAAGAAAGATCAGATGGTGCTTTCAAGTGGAGGGAATGAGACACATACTGTACCATTCCATCAACATTCATTGATGGTTGTGAACATTTTTGCAGCTTTTTCTGTCTGACAGCAATACTCTTATTTATTGTGTGTGTGACTGGAAAAATATTGTCAGTGAAACAATATTCAACAAGTGTTATATTGACATTACCTAAGGTTTACATGAGGTCTTTAATGTTTGATAACATCTGCATCACAAGATCTCAAAGAGACACAAGTACAGTATAACTTGAGTGGTTGTTTGCTTTCCTTCGACATCTCCTTCATTTCTGTCATGTTAAGTTAAGAAGTTACTGCTTTTGAGTTCGGTTTTATTATTCTCAACAGCCACACGGCTGAATCAGTTTTTGGGAGGGTGTCAATGTGTCCTGAAAATGGTCACAGAACTCTATAATATATAATTCAACTAAAAATAGTATGTAAAACTCTCTGAAAGTAGTTGTTGGAAGCTATGTTTAGTTTAGCGGTCACTAGAACATCCAATTTTTTAAAAATAAGTCCTGAGCTTAAGAAATTGTTTTGTGAAATATTTGCTGGGGTTTTTTTTTTTGTACATTCAAGATTGAACCACACTTCTATTGATATAATTTTTTGGGGGGGTGGGGTTCATTGAGAGAGATGGAGAAAAGTAGTAGTTAGTAAAATGATGCCAAAAACTACAAAACTAAACAATATAAGCAACACACATTCGAGTTGATAAACTGAGACCAAAAAAGGGGGGAATACATGTTGAGTGAGTGTGTGCAGGTCAAGAGGAAGTGACAAGAGGCTTTTCCTACCTAATACAACGCTCGCACAATCCATTATACACACACACACATATAATATAT